CTTGTTTTTTTTTTTTTTTTGCGCTGGTTGATGCGCTCTCCAACCTGGTTGCTAGGCTTTTGAATTCTACACGAAAGCCTTGCTCAGGCCCCCTGCCTGCCAGGTGAACTTGAAGTGACGGTTCAACTGGAAGCCGGCCTAGCCCAGCAGGTCACGATGGAGGACCTTCAACATGTCAGCTGTCTTAATTCAATGAGGCTGCCGCCGAAGTTTCCTAACGAGGATAACTGCTGAGAAAAGTTCAGCTGGCCGTGCAACCTTGGCGCTGCTTCTGCAGGAATGCGGAAGGGTCTTTGGTCTCTTCGGAGAGGTAGCACAGCTTGACCTCACGCGTCTCCGCGAAACAGGACGGGATCTCGCTGGGACGACTCAAATGCTAGAGACATGCTGTTGGCATTCTATGACACCGGAACATCCGTGGGCATCCACAGCCAACGTCTCCAGGAGCACTGCGTGTCTGTTTCTTCGAATCCAAAGCAGCCCTGGCGCTACAAGATTACCTGGACACCCACGGAAGTCTTTGGAGGTGCGCCGTGACTGTTATGCATATCGTGGAGCGGGAGTGCACGGCAAAGAGGCAGAACACTGTGTCGGAACGTCTTGCAAGTCAAGTCACCAGGCAACCGTGCAACCAGATAAGGATGCTGACTGAGAGCGCAGAAAGGGAACATATCGAGTTCTGACGGCTGAGTATGTCAGTTCTGCCTAAATGTGAAACCATGCGACGCCCGCAGACCGCCGAAGACTACAGCAATTCGTGGAGCACAGCAGCAACAGCAACATCTGAGTAGCGATGCAGCACAGGTCGCCACCAACAAATGGGGACTCCGTTGCCTTCCATGCCTCCGGAAGCTCTCCTGGCTATACAACTGTTTTCTCTGTCGCTGAGGGCCGGTCCGAAGACTCCAGGTCTGCAAATCTTGGAAGAGTGTTTGCAATCAAGGTCCCGGCGGTTATGGGTCTTGGGAGCCTGGCCGGATTTCCAGTCGGCGACCATCAGACTCACAGGAGTGGTTGAAGCGGGGCTTCGACGCATGTTCAATGCAACTAAACGCTGCGAACGTCGCCAGGAAGTGAGGAACTACTTGGAAATCGACGAAGGGCGACTCCTCCGTGGTCAGGCGACGTTCTGTAATTGCCTAGCTAGAAATTCCTTGAAAAGATGATTTGATGATGTCATGCTCTAGCTTAAGTTAATGCTTGGCAGACACGCGATGGTGTGTCTCGTTCCAGTCAGAAGGAAACGCGCTGTTCCTTGATGATTGGACAAGTGCCAAAAAACTGCGATGCATCCCGACCGCACAAAGAGCTCTCACACTGATTTCCCCCTTCCCTCCCTATCAATCAATCAATCAATGTATCTATCTGTCTAGCTATCTAATTATCTGGCTATCTAATTATCCAGCTATCTAATTATCTAGCTGTCTAGCTATCTAATTATCTAGCTATCTACGTAACTGGCTATCTAGCTCTCTGGCTATCTAATTATCTAGCTATCTAATTATCTAGCTATCTAATTATCTAGCTATCTAATTATCTAGCTACTAGCTATCCAGCTATCTAGCTATCTAGCTATCTAGCTATCCATTTCTCTCTCTCTCTCTCTGTCAGATTTTCTCTCTATCTCTCTCTCTCTCTCTCTCTCTCTTTCCCCTTCCTGCTCGACAATTCCACATGCACTTTCGTCGCAAAGTTGTCGTGTATGTGCACACTGGTGCCCACAACAGAGTGTGTCCTAAAGCTTCAGCCCAGTCCGTCTTCCTGCTGGAGAAGCTGCGCGAGCTCGAACTGTTGCACAGGCAGTCGTGTCCTTTTTGCATGCGTCCTCTGTCGTGCCACATGTCAGTGCCAGGTACAGGCATGCGTAGGCGTAGAGTGCGATGCTATTTTTCCTGACGTGTCCAGACTGCGCTTCTTTTACATGCCCATTGACAAGAGTCGAAAGCGGCATTTTGGATATGCGCCTAGGCAGAGAATGGAGTCATGGTTTTGCAGACGTGCTGTTCCCTTTGGCAATTATTCATGATGTTAACTCCGGGGTCGGGTGGTGCATGATAGTGTTCTACCTTCGCTTTTGTCTGCATGTTGCATGATGCTGGGTTCGTGGCAGCAATCAGAAGAAGATGCATCAGCGGCAGCCTGAGGTCTTCTTAGAGGTGTCCACACCTCAGGACGTCATCGCTCTCTTACGTTGCTGGCTTAATTCCCAGCGGGTCTGTTCGCTTCCTCTGCTTCTTGTTCGATGCCTCGCTGCTGTGCAGTTATTCACCGTGTCCGAGGACTTCTACCGCGCTTGGGTGAGTTGTTGGGCACATCGCGGTCGAACCGGCAGCTACACTTGCATTTCGCACGGATTCAGGCCCGGCCCTGACATAATTTGTCGGCTCAGTAGCGGTAGCGGTAGCAGTAGCAGTAGCAGCAGCAGTAGCAGTATGAGTAGGAGCACGAGGAGGAGTAGTAGTAGTAGCAGTAGTACAAGTAGTACACGTAGTAGTAGTAATAATAATAGTAGTAGTAGTAGTAGTAATAGCAGCAGTAGCAGTAGCAGTAGCAGTCTAAGTAGCAGTGGTAATATAGTGTTACTAGCAGCAGTAGTAGTAGTAGTAGTAGTAGTAGTAGTAGTCGTATCAGTAGAAGTAGTAGTAGAAGTAGTCGTAGTAGTAGTAGTAGTAGTAGTAGTAGTAGTAGTCGCAGAGTAGTAGTAGTAGTA